AAACAAGCTGACACACACCAAGAACACAGACCCAGACCCCAAACTCGAAGCCAGACTGAAACCCAGAATGCTACATCACAACCACCCGCTCAGGATATCACATCAGAAAACTCAGGAAATTATACCACAAGAACTCAAGAAGTTGCAACACAGCAAATGACCCAGGATATCACAGCACAAGACCAAGGATACCACAGCAATAAGTCTCACAAGGTCATCACACAACCCATTATCCAAGCCGTTACTACACAGGAGGCTAATGGAAAAGAGATCAAAACACAAACGACCCAGGAGATTACAACGCAGGACCCAGGATACCACAACAAAAGAACTCGCAAGACCATCACACAACCCAAGCCGTTAAACCACGAGAGGCTAATGGAAAAAAAGATCACTACAAAAGAAATGACCCAGGAGATTACAGCACAAGATCCAGGATATCTTCACAACAAAACTCACAAGGCCATCACACAGCCCATTATACCAACATCAACTCCATCAACCAATCAAGAGGCAGAAGCTCAGCCAACCAGCCCAGCACACCAGCCCTCACCACCAGTATTTATAGAGAGACGGCAGCTCCGATCACACACTGCTTGCACTGGCACGAAGCCGAAAGCACCAGCCTGAGGATGGCAAGTAGGACCTCGCTGAAACGTCACCAAGATACTCTTAATCTTACACGGGAAAAGACCCGAACACACCTACACCTACACACACACACACATATATAAAAAACACCAGTGCAAAGTGACTGCAGGACTGACAGCAGACTACAGTAATCTACCAGAGCAGCAACCAAGTACCATTACAGTAGTAGAAATCTGCAGCAAGTCAAGAACACGAAGAACTGGTTTTTTTAGCGATACATGTATCGCTAGGGTATCATGTATCGCTAAGGTACCGCTCAGGTATCTCAAATTTTTAAATATATGGGATATAAGTTACAATTAACTAAACATTCCTATTGAAGCAATAAAAAATTAAATTGGGCTAAAAAATCAAGTAATTGCAAATTTATGTATGTTTGTCAAAGATAAATCTTATAGAACTGAAAGGTACTTGCTTCTAACAAAGTTTTATAGACTTGAAGCCTATGCTTGAATTCAATCCAAGTTTACTAAAAACTATTAAAACATTACTTTAAATTTTAATCATCCATATGTCCATATTATTAATAACATCAGTAAAATGTAATCATGAAGTAATAGAAATTTAGAAAATGTAGATTAATAGAGACTCAGTTTTTTATAAATACATATAATATTCTTATGATGCTACCGGTACTTTTATTTCCGAACCATTGTAGCATTTTAAAATCATTTTCCCAAATACAGAAGTGGCTAATAATCTCCAAATACATTTGGATGTTACATGAATTTTTATAATAATTTTCATTCATTTTTTTTCAGTGACTAGCAGAGTAGATATTACCTAATTGATATTGATTAATATGTGGATCACATATATTTATAGAATTGACCTGAATAGTGAGTAATCCACTGTAATGATACATCTTCAATTTAAATTCAAAATAGCACCAAGAAAAATACCTAAATAAATAGCTAAGAAATTATGCAAAATGTATTAGAAGGTAATTCATGTTTAATTTCACTGAAATTTAACAGATATTTATGGAGGGTACAACTTTATTGTTAAGTGAAAAATTTGATGAAATGTTTTTCAGCAGCTCTATATTTTCACTCAATCTATTTTAAGTAAATAACTTATATTTTATTATGTTCTAGTCATATTATTTTAGAATAACAAAAAGGGGTCCTTGATGATCTCTTGAACTTGGTTGTTTTCTTGCAGATGTTTTATTAGCTAAATTAGTGTAACATCATCAGAATAATAGCATTCCACCACAAGGTGGCACACATCGATTAATAAATTGAATTTCTGTTCCCTAGCTTCCATATTCTTTCTCACTTTATTGGAAACTTATGGTATGCTAGTATTATATTGATAATGATTTAATCTCTGCAAAAATATAACATTGGGTCATAATTTTAAAATATGCATCATTTACAGAGCTATTGTGAAGTCGTTCGAGTAAATTGTAAGAATTTTGAAGAAAGCAAAACGGAACTGTAATGTTTACTAGAGCTCTCTTTCCAAAGCAAGTTTCCTCCCACCAGATCAAGATATTCAAGCCAGCTGCTATTTGGCATAGTTCATTCCATTCATCTATGACAAAAATCAATATGAACACATTTTTACAAAATCACTAAAAAAATGGAATAATTGTCATCTTTTTTTATTTTGACCAGCACATCTTTCCAATGATTGAAACTGGCAGTTTGCCTACCTTCTCATGTTAGCATAACATTAACCAACACTGATAGGTTTTAAATAAATATTATTTATTATTACTTAATAATTGGGATAATATAAATGACATTTCTGCTGATATTTAGGTATTATTTGCCTGAAAAACTTTATTAAAGCCATTTATTTCAGAGGAAGTAACACTTTTTAAAATATCAGCAACGTATGAAATATTGATACTTGAGAAATCCGAAAAATATTGATCTGTGTTTTTATTATATAACAGTAGATAACATGCTGCAAAAGGTATAATTATAAAAGAAGTAGGCATTATATAAAGTCATACACCTTGGAATTTCTGTGCAAGACTTTTTAAAAAGTTATTCACAGAAGTGATGCTGCAGTACACAGTGATAATTAGGCATAATATCTGACAACTCATCCTAATTATCAAAACTCTATTTGTATAGCACACCTGGCTATAGTTAGATGAATCATAGTCTATTAACCCAATCTTTTTCATTTGTGTGTCATAGTAAATCATATATTATGTGATGAATGCATATAACACAGAGATTTATAGTTCAATATGTTATTTCCGTAAATTTGTTGATGGAGGAAAATGATTGTAACTTAAAAGAAGTTTAAGGTTAAATGTTATTTTAAGAAAACAAGCTGTAAGATTTCTAAGTTTCTTCAATGAACAAGGTGTTACAAAATCAGATATTGCTGAAGAACAAAGAAAGTTAGCTAATATAATACTTCATTTGCAAAGATTCAAAGGAATTAAAGTAAATATATTTCTTTTCAAATTATTCAGAAAACAAGGCAAAATTATGTAAATAGAACCAAGTGCAGAAATCTAAAAAAACATTCCAATATATTATAATTTCACTTGATATTTTTTTAATTGAAATATTACAAACATCATTTTTTCTGTTCTGTTACTTTACATTTACTTTGATTTATTACATAGCAAATATACCAGCTAGTTTGCTCTATTTAAAAAAATTACCTGGAATATTTAAGAGTTTATGAATTAAAGGAATGCTAATAGTTAACTTTGCTGAAGATTTCACTGAGAGGAATAAATGAGTGAGAAAAAACAACAGCATTAATCTGACTATGGCTTGAAAGTCAGAAAAATAAAATAAATTTTATTAGAAATATTTGATGACACAATGTAAGTATTGAGCTTGTTTAAATCAAACATAATTTGGCTCAGATAACCAAATTATGATAATAAGTGGGTTGGTAGTAATTAAAAATGTGACTATATAATTTGTTTAAACATATACAAAAGCTAAACTGACCTTCTGTTTTATGTGTTTCCCAGATTAAATATTAAAAGCTGTGGATTCTAATTTTTTTCCCATACTGGCCGATGTGCCCCATATCTTTACACAGGGGAAATATATAACTGAGGCTCCTATACTTTAGTCCAGAGTCTGTTGATAATAGGATGGTAAAAATAGAAAGTATCAATAACTTCTAGCTTATTATCTTTATTATTAAGGGAGTTACAAATTGTGGTTTCTGCATGAGTAGTGGCTCAGTACTGAATTCAGTTGTTAACGCCTAGCAACAAGCTAAAGACATTTATGTTAGAATTATTTAATACCAAAACATAAAGGTAATGCTCTGAGCTTAAATAGCTTTGTAGTCTAGGTTATGTACCTGAACATTTACAAACAGTAAATGTTTATTTCAGATGTACTATATGTTGTCGTACATCTTTTGATATGCAAGTACTGCACTGCATTGTATAATTAATTTTTCCCCAAGATTTCAATAGGACAATTCACTGCAATGAAATTGTAAGAAAGGTGGAATAATAACTAAAATAAATAGCAGAAGCATAGACCACATACAAAGTCATATTGTTTCCATAGTCCTGCTTCAAGAGATCTAGTCAATTCTATTAAAATCATATTTACTTATTAATACATTGTAAGATGTAGTTTTTAACATTAGATTCTTGAATAAAATATACAAGTTCACACAAGCCCTGACCGTATAAACCATATTATGACATAGTACACTGTACAGAGACTCTATTTCCTTATACTGAATTGCAAAATCTTTCACATTAATGTTTAGGCATGCTTTTTCATAGTTTTCTTTTCACTTCAGAAAATATATTTCTGATTCATTCAAAACAAATCAATGTTTATCAAGCTAACCAGAGATAATACAAATAATACAATTAAGAATAGACATGTTAATGGGTTACTTCCTATATTCACGTTAAAACTTTATTGCTATAAATTTCTGTAGAGATATTTTATAATGAGTTGTTTGTAGTTGACTTAAGAATATACAGTGTAAACATGTTAGCCTTATTAAGATCCAGTTGTAAAGGGGTTACTTTCAAAGTCCTACAAGAAAAGCTGTACATTTTATGTTCTTTCCTTTGTTTTAAAAGGAAAAAGGGTCTTTTCTTTAATAGCATCACAAATTTGCTACACGAGCTCTCTTTCTCTGTCTCTTTCTCTACTTTCTCCCCTCTCCACAGTTTTCTAATATAAAATAATGCCTTTTTCTAAAATTAAAATAATTTCATGTTTGGTTTAAATTGTGTGTTCATTATTTCTGCAGTTTATATAATGCATGTAACTAACCATATATACTGTAAAAAATAATTGTCTGCATTTTATACTGAGAAGTTTAGAAAAAATAATGAAACACATTAATATAGCTGGATATATATTTATATGTAAATTCCTTAGACAGATGAATGTAAGAGGAAAAAAGCCTGGTATAAAAGTGCATTGGAAGAGGCAAACAAATTACTTGCATGTTCTACTCAGCAAAGGCTCGACAAATGCTACCTATCAAAAAAAGGTACAATTATCTGGCCTTTTATTTGTTATTATACACAAACATTTGAATTTTTATCTGTGCAAATAATTTCCCAGTAATTGTGGCATGAATTAATGATAGTATCTTTACTAAATACTAATACTGCTAGTATTAGTACTGATTCCTACATCACATCAACAAAAGTTTCATAAACAAAAGAATAAATAAATACCCAGTTCAGAGTAATCTGTATTATTCACTTAGGAACCTGTACATTTTATATGATAGATATCATGTTTAATGAAATACGAGTTCTTACAACTATATCTCTGTAATGATCAATATACTCTGTAAAATATCTTTGGATTCTTATTGTAGACATGAGGATCTATTTATCATGTAAGATTAACCAAGTTCTGATTTGGACCGTGTTCTTCCAGCAAATATGGTATCACAGCCCACCATGTGATAGTTGAGTAGTTTGTTGTAGATTCCTATTTCTATAATATTGTTGCATTTATAACATAAGAATTGAGCTCAGATCAGAAAAAATCATATAAAATCTTTTGTAAATCATTATAATCTAATTGTGCCTTAATTATTTTTATAATGATTTTTAGATACAGTAAATGGTGAAGCCAAAAGAAAAACTGATAAAATAGAACATAAAAAAATGGTAAGATTTAAATATAAATTTTAAAATACAATTTTAACTGATTATTGGACAACTTGCTTTGCAATATTTGTTTCAGCTATTCTTTCTAAATAGCAATATTATCATATCAATTTTTATCTATATGAAATGTGTTTGTTTGGCAGCTTGATGAAATTAGTAACTTACTAATGTTATAAGCATTTTATATTAATATGAAAATGGATATAATTTTATCATTTATTATTCTATGCTTCATAATAATTTAAAGAAAACCTGTTTGATTTGGGGTAAGAAAAGTGAAAGGGAATAAATACCTGAAGAAAATACTATAGTTAGTAAAGTAATTATACTGGTATAATTATACTGGCCTCTGAACATCATTTCTGATATTTTTTGTGTGGTATGGATAAGATGGCAGAAGCTTCAGGCTCATTTAATCTTCTATATAAATAGCCAAGAGAGTTTCAAAAACTTCTGTTACATAATTTATCATTTGATCATTCTTATGGAGTGATAAACTATGGTTAATTTTTAATTAATTTAACATAAACCAATTCAGTTATAACTTGATCATATGTTAACTATAATTAACTAAAGTTGTGGTTTGGATACAGTGGTGGAATTCAGCTGGTTCTGACCAGTTTGGGTGAACCAGTAGCGATAATTCGGGCTGGCCCCGCCCACCCCTGCCCTGCCCCGTTCACCCCACCCAGTCACTTCTCATCTCGTCCGTTCGCCTGACATAGCTGCTGCTTGTCTCCATCTGGCTCCCTGGCTTGTCTTGACCACACGGTCTCTGAGGACCAGCCAGCTTGCCTGCCTTTGGCTGCATCCCATGCGGCACTCTCCGCGTGGCTCAGCTGAGGTGCCCTGATCTTCTGGCAGTCTGGATGAACAAAGCCTGAATCCCGGCCTAGCTGCCTCCTACATTGCCCCATGATCCCCGAGGCCCAGCGCACTTCCCTTCTCCCTTCCATGCAGTATTCAGCCCACCATGCTTCTCTGCCTTCCCCGTGGCCTTCCTGAGGAAGGGAACAGACAATGGATTTTATTTTCCTTTTCCTGCGCCTTTCTTTTTGAAAATTTTGCAGGATATCTTTTATTTCCTATAGGCAATGATGCCTTTTTTAAATATTTGTAACTCATAACTCTGATTTCCCCTTCCATTTTAAAGAGTGGGAAAAAGAAAAAGTCCTTGAAAAGAAGAGTGGGGGGCTAATGTGCACTTATTTGTTTACATATTCTCCCTCTTGACTGCCCCTGTCTCCTGTCTAGAAGTGCTATCTAATGACCCCTGGCACTGATTAAAGTTTCAAGATGACCCCAGATAGTTTTCATTACACAGGTCATAAAACTGGTCATAAAACTCATTTAAATGACTAGCTTATCCAAATGCTGTTTGAAGTTCTGCACATTTGTGGTGTTGGAATGGATTATATGTCAACTCCTAATGACACTATAGATTTGGGATTAAGCTCTTGGAAACTTTTGGAAGTATTCACTTGTGGTGACTGAGAGCAAAAGATATTTAATGGTAATATGTTAGAAGTACCTTAGAATTGAAAACAAGTTGGCAACAATGCTTTATGAAAATAAAAATATTGGACCCTATTTCCACAGTTACCTTGTATTGTATTTTCCAATTATTTAAATAAGCTCATGTGGTAAGTTTTCCTATAAACTGTTCATGTTGACTATTTTGACAGGCTCTCTGAATTTGCACAAAGGGTCCTCTGACAAGGGTAGATTTGCAGTATTAAAAAAGAAGATAGAGAATGGTGATTTAATGACTGATCTATATGTTCTACCAATTATCTGAGGCCTGCAGTCTTCATTTGTACCACCCAAAGGGCCAACGTATGCCTGTACATACCTCACTAATAGCTCGGCAATTTATCTACTCCATCTGTATTTATATATTCTTCAAAATATGTTTAAACTTTTTAAAAAACGGCTGACTTGCCACAAAGCAAAACACCATCCTCCAGAAAAATCATTTCTTTCTTTCTTTATCTTTCTAAAAAATCATTTTTTTTAAGTAATTCAAAGCAAATATCTCTCCTTCTCCTATTTTCCCATCACAGTCCTGTGAACTAGGCTGGGCTGAGAGAGGGAACGACTGGCCCAACATCAGCCAATTATTTGTTAACTCACTGAGCCATTTCTGAACTTTCCCGCAATGGGAAAAAGAGAGCTATCTGCAGCCAGTATTTTGTTTAGAAGTGCATCCACCTGTCTTTAAAAAACAGAAAAATTATAAGTATAGGACTGTGCTTTCTTATGGTGGACAGGGATGCATTTGTCTACAATTCTTTAAACAAAATATGTCCCTTTCTGGGGAAGAAAGGGATCTGCATAATCTCAAGAAAAAGAAGTTTCGAAAGAAGATTGTGGAGAATAATAGAGCTAAGAATCTGTGGGAGTTCCAGAAGGATGGGCAGGCATTAAATAATCAGCCAGACACTATAGTAATAGACAAATTAATAAAGACGAGAAGAGCTTGGGAGGCCAGGCAAATGGGGCGAGGCAAGGCGCCCCTCGATGTGAGTAATGTGGAGTTGGCCATGCCCACCCACTCACATGATCACCTAGCCATGCCCACCCACTCACATGACCACCTAGCCATGCCCACCAAGCCACACCCACCAAACACACTGACAGAACCAGTAGTAAAAAAATTTGAATCCCACCACTGTTTGGATATACAAGAAATTGTGATTATCTAACCATGAGAAAACAAAAAAACTCTTCCAACACCCTTTTCTATAATACACATAAAAGAAAGATACAAGGCTGAAATATATAATTTAATAAAATGAGTGAACTTACCCATTAAATATCTGTGAGGGAACAGCTGTTGAAATTAAAAGGAAAACTCTCTACGTCGGAAACAACTGTTGAGTACTATTAAATATACTGTATATTCAAAAATGATTACCTATTTTTCAGATTAAACATTATACAAAAAAATATGGGAAGAAAACTAGCTGTAGAAATGGAAGAAAGTAAGTTTCTTTAGTTATCGTGTGATGGTCTTAAAATATTGTGATTTTTCACTAGACAAGGAAAGATACAAAAACATGGATAGCAAATTCAAGTATATTGATTTTTCCAGGATATAAGAACTATATGTCTTTTATTTATTTAAATATACTTAGCCTGCCCTCTGATTTAAAAAAAAATAGAGTGATATACAGCATATTTAAAAAGTTACAATGAAGTGATTAAATATCAGCAGTATATTTCAGTATCAGCAAATCATATCAGCCATCAAAACTGTTAAAACCCATTGGAACCCACTATTTTAGTATGGTATCTAATATACATTAAATTCATAGCCAATAGCTGAAAATCCCTATCACCCACTTGTCAGTGTATAAGGATTCATGAACTGGAATAGGCATGACAACAAGTCAACCAATTGGGGACTGTTTGGTGGCTGAGACACAGGATTTGTTGTGTGAGCCATGCAAGATGGCTTGAAACCTGGGTGTGGCTTAGCTTAACTATTCTGTGCATAAAAGAATTCATTTTGTCTTTGCTTGAGAGTTCTGTGTGCTTATTCTTGTACTTGCTACTTCTTCTCTCTACCACACTGGATGATCTTTCTTTCATTGAAAAGACTTGCTACTTCTTCGTTGCAAGAGCAATGAAGGGTATTGTATACATGTTTTATATTATTGTATATAAAGAAGTTTTTTCTATATAATGAATCCTGCTGAACTATTTGTTTGTGTGCTGGCTGGATCCCTACAAACTCCGATACCACTTTATTTCAAAAGCACACTAAACATCAGAGGTGGTATTCAGCAGGTGCTGACCACTTCTGGAGAACTAGTAGTGGAAATTTTGAGTAGTTTGGAAAACCAGCAAATACCATCTCTGACTGGAGATTTTACAGTATCCTTCTCCTTGCCATGCCCACCAAACTACGCCCACAGAAATGATAGTAAAAAAATTTGAATCCCACCACTGCTAAACATGATACATCCAGCATATATCATGCTGATCCATTCTATATTACCGTATTTATCGGCGTATAACACGCACTTTTTCCCCCCTGAAAATAGGGGGCAAATGATGTATGCGTGTTATACGCCGATATAATGTTAAGAAGCCTTCGGTGAATGCTGCTGGGATCGGGGATCAAGGACACAAATGAAAGAAGGGGAGGGAGGAAGCAACCGAAGCCTGTCCTTCTCTCTGGGTCAGCTCTCTCAGTCGCTCTCTCGCTCCTCCACCAGCACAGGAAGAAACTGCTTCAAAGAAGCGGGGGGGGGCTTTTCCTGTCGCCGCAGCTTCCCTGAAGCGCCCGTTTCTCCCCCACCCCGTCCGCCCGCCCGCCCGCCCGCAGTGCTCCGTTCTGCCTGCCTGCCTGCCTTCGTTAATGGTTGAATCGGAACAGCTTCGGCTGAGTAAAAGAGGCGAATAGTTATTATTCTCAGCCGAAGCTGCTCCCAAACAACCAGAAACTAAGGCAGGCAGGCAGGCAGGCAGAATGGGACACTGTGGATTGAAGCGCGCGCGCGGGGTGGGAGTGGGGGTGAAACGGGCGCTTCGGAATAGCTGCGGCGACAGGAAAAGCCCCCCCCCCCGCTTCTTTGACCGGGTTGCTTCCCTGAAAGGGGCGCCAAGGCCTAGCCCAGGCCACCTTGTCTTCTTCCCCCCCCCCCCCGGTCCTTGCAAAAATTTTCTGCTTGAAACCGGTCCCTGGTACAAAAAAGGTTGGGGACCACTGATTTACCTTATAAGTGGTAATAATATTAATAAAAAAAAAGTTCTGAGCTACCCTTATTTTGCTTCAAAGTTTTTATTTAGAAATTTAATTTTTTTTCCTGAAATTTCCCTCTTAAAATGAAGATGCATGTTATACGCCTGTGCGTGTTATACGCCGATAAATACGGTATATTCCATTCTTCAAAAGAATTTTGTAAGATGCCAGGAATCTGTATTCAAATCTTAGTTCTATAACTTCCAAACATTTATTTGGCTTAGTGTATTGCTGGGCAATGAATGTGCCCAGGGGTGGGATTCAAATTTTTTAACAACTAGTTCTGTGGGTAGGGCTAGGTGGGCATGGCCATGTGACTGGGTGGGCATGGCTTTTTTGCAGCAATCTCCCCCCCTGTTTTTTGGGCCTTCTGGGCCTCAGGGAAACCTCCTGGGGGAGGTGTTTTTGCTCCCAAAAGGTTTCCCTGTGGTCCAGAAAGGTAAAAAATGGAGCCTGGTGGGGGCGCACAGCACCCCCCGCTCCATTTTGGGGCCTTCTGGGCCTCAGGGAAGCCTCTTGGGTGAAGCCGTAAGACAGTGAAGGTAATCCCGGCACAGCTGATCATAGGAACAGCTGATTGTTGGGGGAGGAAGAAACACCTTAAGGAGTGACAGGGTGGGGAAGAATGCAGTCAGCAATGGCAGGCATGCACACGATGTTGCACATGTGCAATAAGGACTGACCAGGCAGGGAGGGTAGGGGTGTGCAGAGAGGGGCGGGGCCAGCATTTGCCGGTTCTCTGAACTGCACAGAATCATAATAACTGGTTCTATAGATCCGGTCCGAACCGGTAGAATCCCACCCCTGAATGTGCCTGCTATTCATTGCATATGATTGTATTAATGAATCACCTCCTGGTTGTCCAGAGGGGAACTGGGCTGCACAAGCAGCAGGCTGGCAGATGCACAAAGTTTGACTTTCCTAAGTGGCAGGCTTGGGCGGCTGGCATGCATATGCATGTAGCTTGACTTGTGCAAATTGAGCTGCACACGTGTGTGTGTGCATGCGTGCGTGCACGCGCGCGCGCACCAGGCCGTCACTTGCAAAGTCGGCCCAGTTCTGAGTAGGTCATGGTCCATAGTGGGCTGTAGCCCAAGGTTGGGGACCCCTGGACTAATGCCTTGGAAAAAGACAGCTGAAGCTTGAGAAGGTTCTGTACAAGGCCTGTATTGGAAAAAGTAATGCCACTGAAAATTCTTAGCAGAATAATCTTGCACGGTAAAGCTTAAAGCCCATGCCCAATTGCTGACAGGAGAGAACTGAAGGATGAAGTGCATTTCTTCCTCCCTTCTTCCCTTTTCTGAGTTCTCTCTTCACTGATTATAGTAAGAGGAAAACAATCCCCTAAACCTCCTAATTGTGATAAAGCTTATTTTGAGGATGTCTTAGCTGGAAAGGCTTTTAATGTCGCCGTGTCTTCTCTAGCCACCTCCTCCCATTTTATTCTTGGCATGATTTCACATATTAGGAAATACTAAATTCCAAGCCTTCTTGGGAAGATAAAAAGAACTCTAGAGTTTGATTTCTACTCCATAGTTACCACTCTTGTAAACTGTAGGGTTGTGCTCTAAATTTGTAATAGATTTCAGCAGATCTATTATGCATGCTACTAAATCTGAATTCATCACATTATGCTAATCAACATAAAAGTTTTATAAGCAATTGCAGAAATGTTTGAGTACAAGGCAGAATAGAAATATTCTAATAAATAAATATTGTACATTCCAATGCAATATCCCCCCCCCCCCCAACGATGAACTGTGTTTTAAGACTTAAAAGGAAATGCTTTATTTGAAATAAACCTTTAGCTTAAATATACCTAAACTATGTATAGCCAGAGTTCAATTCAGATATTCATAGTGGTTTACATTTCAAAATTATATAAAATACATAATTTTCAAGCTGACTTTGAAGAGTTCATTTTGCTACTTTAAATCATTTTAAACATTTTATTTACAATGTAGACTCTTCAGCTTGATTGGTAGACTGGCAACTAAATTTCGGGATTTGTAGAAAATGTCAATGACAAAAATCTAATTCAAATCTAAATAAGCAGTATGATTTTAATTTGTCTTACAATGCAAATATTGTAAGGTGTGCTTAAGTTTATATGAGTTTTAATAAAATTATACAGTTCATAAATAGTTATCAATATTTTTATTAGATGATACAATCATAGTTAGAAATAGGTTACAATCCAAATTCATTCGTAGCTTATAACTTACTGTTTTCACTGGGTCTACTCCTAATTTAACTAAAACTGGATTTTAGCCATTTACATTGTTGGGTTTTTTTCTACCTATTCTTGATTCACAACAAATATGAACAACTTTCTCAATTTTCAGACAAAGAATGTTAACATTTCCTTGCAAAATAGCAAGATCAGAAGATATCCTATCAAGAGAAAGTCTAGGTTGGTGTTCATATATACAAGTACAGAACTATGTACTTTTTATGGTATAGAAAGCAGAGATTGATTTTGAAAAAAAAGTATGTTTATTAAGTTTATCAAGGTATTCTGAAAAAAGAAGGTAAGTATGAAATGTCTGCAAAGCTCACCAAGATTGTAAAATATCTGAATATTGGACTTTAACCTAAAATATTACCTGCATGTAAACACCACAGAATCTGGCAATATTTGCTTCTGAATAGAACGTGTATCAGATTTGCTATAGAATATTTATTTATTTATTATAATTTGTCAAACAAAAACAAAAATGGGAATAATATAAAAACAATGACAGGCACGATAGGCAACATATTTGTGCACTTATGCATGCCCCCTTTACAGATCTCTTATGCATGATGTAAGGTCCACAGAAGTCAATTTGTGACTAAAACTGTGAAAATTTGTAGCTGAGACAACTGAATCAGGCAGAGATTCCAGACTATAGCAACTCTATTACAAAAATCGTATTTTTTACACTCAAGTTTAGAACGGTTTACATTGAGTTTATAACAGTTGTTTGTGCATGTATTATTGCGATTAAAACAGAAAAAGTCATTTACAAGTAAAACATTGCTACGTACAATTTTGTATGCAATACTTAAGTCTGAGTGCAAGTGACAGAGTTCCAGATTATCCGAAGTAAGAATTTCAAGCCTAGTAGCCTAATATCCTAATTCTAATATGTACAGAAGAGTGCAAAACTTTTCCATAAAATACTTCTGAACCAGAGGTGGTATTCAGCAGGTTCTGCTGGAGAACTGGTAGTGGAAATTTTGAGTAATTTAGGGAACCGGCAAATACCATCTCTGACTGGAGATTTTACAGTATCCTTCCTCTGCCAGGCCCACCAAACCACGCCCACAGAACCGGTAGTAAAAACATTTGAATCCTACCACTGTTCTGAACCTATTAAATTGTACTATCAGATATCTGTTTTTACAGATTTACTGTAAAATAAATGAGAGCCAAGGAAATGTTGTAGGCTCTAAATTAGCATTCCTTTAAAGCTCTAAATAGCCAGCTGAAGAATTCTGTGATTGAAGTTTCTATATCTTAAAATGGCCATGTTGAGAAAACTGTTCTAAAGCTTGTATCAAACATTCCTTAAAAATCAATATTTTAAGGTAACTTAGAGAAAACATTAATAATTATTTAATAAAAGAATCATGAAATTTAATGAGACCTGTTGAATATTTATGATAAAATAGCTTATAACAATATTTGAATAATATATTTGACACATCCATTTGGCAACATGAACGATATACAGGTGAAACTTGAAATATCGTGCAAAAGTTCATTTATTTCAGTAATGCAACTTAAAAGGTGAAACTAATATATGAGATAGACTCATTACATGCAAAGCAAGATAGTTCAAGCTGTGATTTGTCATAATTGCGATGATGATGGCTTACAGCTCATGAAAACCCCAAATCCACAGTCTCAGAAAATTAGAATATTACATGCAATCAATAAAACAAGGATTGTACATAGAACAATATTGGACCTCTGAAAAGTATAAGCATGCATAAATACTCAGTGCTTGGTTTGGGCCCCTTGTACAGCAATTACTGCTTCAATGCAGTGTGGCATGGAAGCTATCAGCCTGTGGCACTGCTGAGGTGTTATGGAAGACCAGGATGCTTCAATAGCGGCCTTCAGCTCTTCTGCATTGTTTAGTCTCATGTCTCTCGTTTTTCTCTTGGCAATGCCCCATAGATTCTCTACGGGGTTCAGGTCAGGCGAGTTTGCTGGCCAATCTAGCACAGTAATCCCACAGTCATTGAACAAGGTTTTGGTGCTTTTGGCAGTGTGGGCAGGTGCCAAGTCCTGCTGGAAAATGAAGTCAGCATCCCCATAAAGCTCATCTGCAGAAGGAAGCATGAAGTGTTCCAAAATCTCCTGGTAGACAGCTGCATTGACCCTGGACTTAATGAAGCACAGTGGACCAACACCAGCAGATGACATGGCTCCCCAAATCAACACAGACTGTGGAAACTTCACACTGGACTTCAAGCATCTTGCAGTGTGCGGCTCTCCATTCTTCCTCCAGACTCTGGGTCCTTCGTTTCCAAATGAGATGCAAAAGTTGCTCTCATCAGAAAAGAGGACTTTGGACCACTGAGAAACAGACCAGTTCTGTTTTTCTTTAGCCCAGGTAAGACACTTCTGATGTTGTTTGTTGTTCAGGAGCAGCTTGACAAGAGGAATATGACCTTTGAAGCCCATGTCCAGGATCCGTCTGTGTGTGGTGACTCTTGATGCACTGACTCCAGCCTCAGTCCACTTCTTGTGAAAGTCCCCAACACTTTTTTTTTAAAAAACAAGTTTTATTAATTTTCAAAACACACAAATCATCATTATCTATTACATGTTTAAACCTTTTTCCATTATAAATTTAACAAGTCAGATAAACTATAATTCTGTTTTAAACCATTTCCATATAAACATACAAAAACCTCTTATCCAATTTCTCTTTATTTCTCTTTACTCTTATTCAATTTTATTATTATTATTTCATCTATTTCTTTCTGACTTAGTTACCATTCTCATTCTATATTTCTGCAAGGTTTTATTAATTCTCCCCCCCCCCCCAAAAAAAACATATACACACAACACACAAAACATAAAAAAAATCTTTTTGGAAAGTAACTTGGACCCAGGTATCTCTCTCTTCATGGACTTCAATTATATTCATGCTCATCTTACATATCATTACTTATTTTATTTACCATTCTAAGTCTTCTATATTAACTTCTCCACATATTTCACTCTTCTTAATTCTATCTTAATTAATCATCTTAATTTGAGTCATTATATTTGTATCTTTTGTCCATTCTTTATTGTCCCTTTGTCTCGTTCCTTATAAAAAAAAAGAAATTTCTCCTGAAATCACTAATCAGAGTATGATGCCTTTCTATCTCCCCACTAAATTAATCAAATTAACCTTTAAAATAACGCCCAATACCCAATCCGATTTTGCTTGGTACATTCTATCTGAATAGTACATCCAGAATAATTAAATACATAGTTAAACAATAGATCTAAATATTAAAAACAAATACTATAATAGAAATGTTATAATAACATCAATACCATAATCTTATTAAACTCTTTAATTAAAACTCAATATTCTAAACCTCCCCTCATATTATTAAATTTTAAAACCAATCATTATTAAACATTTCAACATTTTAATCTCTTATCAACTCTTAAACCATTTAAGTTTTCTATTTCTAATACAATACTACAATATCATCTTATGTACCTTGCAAAATCTCTTTGAAGAAATTATACTTTATCCTTTATCCCTAAAAAAGATTCCTTTTTTCCCATTTAATTTCAAAACTTTGTAGCTTTTCTCCACCTTTTCCCTTTCTTTCTTCTCCCAACAAACCTTTCTACCCCCCCTTCTTCTAGCCTCTGCCTTACTGGCTTCCCTTCTCTGTCGTATTCCTTTTCCCTTTTGTTTACTATCATTATATTGATTTTGCACCTTATTTTTCCCTTTCTTAAGTGTTTTTTTAAATCTTAAGTCCTTTATTTCTCTTCCTTTCCCTCTTCCTTCTTTCTTGGTCGAGTTCTGAGATTTATTAAAAATGGCTTCCTCTCCTTCTTCTTCTTCTGCTGTCTTCATCTGTTGTAATGTTTGTTGATAGTTAATAAGCGCCATTTCTAAAAAAAGGAAGGCTTCTTTCAAACCAGCTTTACCATTTTTTTTTTGCTTGTTCATAATCTTTTCTCAGTTCCTCAATAGAAAGAGCCATTATAAATCTTTTCTTTTTTTTCCCCCTTCTTTCTTCTTACAACAACCAGAATATTCCAAAAAAAAATAAAACAGTCCCAAAGTTATCAATCAGTCCAAACCAAGGCAGGGTTCTCACTTTCTCCTCCTGGGGTAGTATCAATCAGAGAAAAAGAAAGTCCAAATCTGTTTCTTAAAATCTTATTGCAATATATTTTAGTCTTCAAATCCTTAAGGCATCTCCTCCAACAAAGTCTTAGCATACAAATATTTTTTTTTTTTAGTCCTCTCTCTTCCCACTCATCGCTTAAAGCCAGTTTTCACCTAAAAAAAAATAGGTTTCTTAATATTCACTTATTTATTCCGTAGGAAAAGAGGGTAAGCTTTTCTTTCAGCACCATCAAACTGCCGCTTTTTTCCTCTTCTAGAAGGTATCATTCAGAAAGTCATACTTTTCAGGAATTTTGTTAAATATGTCTTAGAGTCCTAGGAACCAAGAAAAACTTTCTCCTTTCGAGAACTTTCTCCACTTCCTCCTGCGCATTCTTACCCGGCTGCCAGCTTCTTTGTGGCGGCCATTACGGACCGCCGCTGCACCGTCTTGGGAAAAGGGGGTTCTGCCGGCCAGGGAGGGGGTCTGCAACACCCCCAAACCCCTCTCTGGATCCCCCCTACCTTCAGCTGCCCCTGCAGGGCAGCCTAGCTCCATACCCGTCCGGATCGGAGTCCCAAAAGCGGCTAGCGCAGCAGGGATCGCGCAGCTTCGCGAATCCCTGCCGCTCGCGAAACCGACAAACCGGAAGACGAAAGTCCCCAACACTTTTGAATGGCCTTTTCCTGACAATCCTCTCCAGGCTGCGGTCATCCTTGCTGCTTGTGCATCTTTTTCTTCCACACTTTCTATTCATGTACTTTGATACAGCACTTTGGGAACATCTAACTTCTTTTGCAATTACCTTTTGAGGCTTTCCCTCCTTATGGAGGGTGTCAATGATGGTTTTTTGCACAACTGTCAGGTCAGCGGTTTTTCCCATGATTGTGCTTCCTAGTGAACTAGACTGAGAGACCATTTAAAGGCTCAGGAACCCTTTGCAGTTGTTATGGCTTAATTAGCTGATTCGAGTGGGACACTTTGAGCCTAGAATATTGAACCTTTTCACAATATTCTAATTTTCTGAGATTGTGGATTTGGGGTTTTCATGAGCTGTAAGCCATAATCATCTCAATTATGACAAATCACGGCTTGAACTATCTTGCTTTGCATGTAATGAGTCTATCTCATATATTAGTTTCACCTTTTAAGTTGCATTATTTAAATAAATGAACTTTTGCACGATATTCTAATTTTTCGAGTTTCACCTGTATATATATGATACTTAGCATGTAAAATTATATTTTCTGCACATTCCTCTGATTTAGCATCTTTTACCTATTTCTACTTTAAATTTAGGATAATTGTTTTTTAGGACTACATTGTCCCATAAATCAATGGAGGTTAATTTGTAGGAGTATGAACTATGAAAGTTCTGGGTGACATGATCTTTATTTCTGAAAAAAGGCACACCAGAACACACACACATATCCCAACCTATTGCATGATAAATGATAAAACCTATTACAAAAGAAACTAATCACAAAATGATTTAATTATTTTTAAGTATTCCAGAGCAAAGTACTGCATCACACAGATAATTAAAATGTGTTTTATGGAATAATTAAAGCAGATGCATTTCTTTGGGCTGAAAACGTTTAGAAAGAGATTTAGTTTAAAACTTAGGAAGCATTTTTTAACTTTATGAAATTCTAATATTTTATATAAAATTATTATGTATTTTTCTGGGACATTTCTTACTTTAATACTGCATGTAATTTGCAATTGGTGGCAAAAAAAATTCACTTGCAAGGTAGCATTTAGATTAGAAATCCTAAGATGAATAAATAAGTGAACATAGTTGATGTAAAATAGGACTCTGGTTGCACTTTCCTTATTATCCATGGATAATATAAATGAATTTTTACCTGAAAATCAAAGCAAAGGTTTAATCTATATATATTAAAGCAAAATGCCACTTACAGATCATCACAAAATCTCCAGAACTGTAAAGCATACAAACTTGAAATTTGGCACGTATGTTCCTCTTGGCTTCTAAGTCAGTGGTCGCCAACCAGTGGACTGGGGACCACTGGTGGTCCGCAAGAAAATTTTGGTGGTACGCAGAGAAATTTCACTCCCAAAGCAATTAATCCAGGCTGCGCCGCCCACATGGCCCATGGGAACACATGGCCCAAGGCTTGCTTCACTTGCATTGCGAACAACACATAGTGAGGGGAGGGGGGAAAGGGCAGAGGGGGAACTTATTCCACTTGCCCCACGCATCTGGCCTGGCCACTGGGCTGCTTCTTTATGCTTCTTTCTTTTTCTGCTTTTGGCTGCATACAAGGAAAGCAGCAAAAGTCTTTCTCTCCCCCAAACTCCACCAGAAATGAGTCTTTGGGACCCTGCAAGGCATTCTGCTCCAAGAGGCTGTGCCGGCATGACAAGTCTCACAAAGACTAGAGTCTGGTGGAGTTTGAAGGAGAAAAAGAAACACTTCTGCTGCTTTCCTTGCATGAAGCCAAAAGTCTCTTTCCCCATCCCCCCCACAGAACGGAGCTGGAGACGGTATCCTGTGATCCCAAATAAAGAATGATCAATTGGTAGGAACATGAGGTGGGGAATTTTCCTGCAGACTCTTTTTGGGATTTTCCCAGAGTCTCTGGTGTGCAGGATTTAAAATTATGAGTTTGGTGGTCCCTGAGGTCCAAAAGGTTGGCGACCTCTTTTCTAGGTGCTCACTAAGAAAGGATTTTTCAAAATGACCATCAGAACATTAGTATTTTGTATGTTATTATTAACATGCTGTAATGCTAAGGAGATCTACTCCCCCTCCCTACCTGAAAAGAAATCTGTTCCAAATGCAAAACAGAAACAGAGGAGAGCAGTTCAGTTTCAGTTTTAGTTTCACAGCACCAAACAGCTTAAGTACACAACAGTTGAGATAAGCCACACCCAGGCTCCTTGCTGTCTCCTTGCTCACACAGTAAATTCTGTCCTAGTTTCCAAACAGCCCTCAACTCTCTCACACAGTGACAGCACACTAACCAGGTGAATACCGATGGATGCTGGTAGGCAGCATCCCCTTATTTTCCTCCCCCAAAACTAAGCCCGACCACAAACTTCACTAGTTTCGTAGCGAAGCATGGGTATCCAGCTAGTTATAAATAAAAGCTAGGAAAAGTGTCATAAAATTTCTTTCTCGGTAAAACATAAATTTAACATGTCATAATATGAACTAGAAAAATTTAGTTTATGTATGAGTGTGTATGAAATAGGAATTCAGATGTTAATAATATGGCATGATGGTGATAATGAAGACCCAGTTCCTAATTTAAGAAAAATGTAAAAATGCCTTATTAATGCAGGAATTGGCAAAAATTCTGTAATGTGACATGCATAAGATAATATATTCAGCCTTCAAGAGACCCATGGTCACGTCAAAATTCCATTTAAAAAAAAATCTTCATATACAATTGCCTTCTAAATATATATAAAATTAATAATGCAACAGCAAGCAATGAAAAGGTCGTTTTTAGTGAATACATATTCAGATTAGAGGAGGAAAAATTCAAATTGTCCCTGGAAGAAAAATAAATAAAAGAATAGTGAATGAAATTGCTATCCCTATATTTATGTTTATGCACAAGCATAAAACATACAAACCAGTAGAAAAAAAATGAGAGTAACATTGGAAAAGTAAAGACTGGACTAGTCACAATGTCTTGCTGAGAAAATTATGGGAAGTTGTTATGGGAATAATATTTGAAAAGGGTGTTTTATGTTAATTGTTTTTAATTCTTGTAAAAAGGTACAATAAATAAATAAAGTATAAGTAAACTTTTCATGCGGATTAGTCATACAAAATTGGATTCCATCTTATTAATCCTAAATAAATTTGAAATTGGTATGACAAAGAGCAAAACATTTTAAAATGAATTTATTAATAGATTAACATATGAAACATAAAACATTGTAATGATTGCTATTTCCAGTTAATGCCTGTTAATGTAATTGAATTAAATTAAATTAAGCAATCTTTAGAATTGTGGTAATATAATTATATATTTTAGTGAAAATATTATTGCTTGTTTTTAGTTGTAACAGAGACAAAAATTATATTGAAAGATTTGGACCAAATTCTCAGTCAAGTCTTAGTCACTTCCAAACCTTCTTTGGAATCATCTGGGAATCGAGAAGACAATATTGAAAGAGAAGAGGTATGAATTATTAACTTGAAGTCCAGAAACTGCTATTAATGGAGGGGGGAGGGGGGAGGGATAAAATCCAATGCATGCTTATCTAAGGATAAGTCCCATTGAAATCAATGAGGTTTAGCTTGAATAAGCACATATAGGCTGATTTTAGAATGCATTTGCAACAAATGTTTACTTCAAACATGAAAAGAAATAATTTCACTGTTTATTTGAGAAATAAAGGTACATAACCTTCAAATAAATATATTTTAATGAATAAATAAAATAGTTATCAATAGGATACCAGTATACTGACAAGCGAACATCTTTTTATTTTGGGCATATCAAAAAACAACTGTCATTTTAATACTATTTTTCCATCCTTTATATGTTTTTAAATGGGAAGAGGAATATGTGACAGTGCAAGTCTGTATTTATAAAGAGAGTGCTATATGAATGTACAAATATTTATGTTTACGTCTGGACATTTTCCACACATATTACAAAACAATTCTATATTAATTTATGCTCTTTTATTATATATAGATATTACACACACACACACACACACACACACACACACACACACACACACACAACTTTATATTAATGCATGTATTGATTATTTCCAAGATTATGTAGAGATCAAGAAGTATGGCCAGATTCTAAACAGTTTGTGTATTTTAAAAAATATTATCTTTTTTTAAAAAAATTGTTTGCTATTCACTTAATAGCAATGTGGAAATGCTATAGCACTTCAGGTAGATTTACTCATTTATATATAAATTACATCTGTTACACAATTTTCCAACAAATTCTAGTTGAATCACAATCCACAAGACTGTGTCTATAATGAACAACAATAGAAACAATTCAAAAATGAATTATAAACAACTTCATCAATAAACCACTTTATAGGTTAGCAGGAAGTGTGAAGCTAATCATTAGCTATGCAAATATAATGAACCATCTTTTGTTGAATCAAGTGTAGCATTACTACATTTTATTAAATTTTATTGTAAAGTAAAAATATAAAAGAAACAAAAGTTAGAAAATTAAGAATAAAAGTACAAAAAGACTAGAAAAATTATGACTTCTGTGCAGTAAATAATAAAAACAATACAACATCAACCTGTTACTTTACATTTCACAACATGTCAAGTAATTTCTATAATTACAAATCCACGCTAATAATCAAAACCTACAGTTTCATTTTCTGTCAGTTTGTAAAAAATAAATAAATCCAGAAGCACTTTCCAATTAGAAACAAAAAACTAGATTTTTTAAAAATTGAAACAATTATTTTCACCATCTATGCCAGGGGTGTCAAACTCAAGGCTCATGGGCTGGAGTTGGCCCATTGGGTGCTTAGATCTGGCCTATGGGGCCATCCTGGAAACAGCAAAGGACCAGCCCTGGATGTGGCCCTTCTGAGTTCTGTTTTTGCCGGTAGAGGGTTGCAGGAGGTGTCACAGCCAAAAACGGAGCTCATGAGGGCTGGAGAGAGTTCCAGGAGGCTCGGGAGCCCATTTTCACTGACAGAGTGTTTTGGGCACCACAGGCACCCCCGAAGCAAGTGATATCGAGCTGGCCATGTCTCAGGGTTCTGACCGATACCCTAATAAAATAATGAGCCTCAGGCCAAGCTTTAAAGGAAATCCAGTTATTTATTAGGAGCTTCATTTTGGCATGGACCTAGTGAAGCCAACTCTGACCTCACTTAATTCGCGCTTTGGCTGTGACCTTGTTTCCCCCTCTCCCAATGTGTGTCATCAGTCACATTCCACAATGAAGCTATTTTGGGGGTTGTAGAAGTCACTCCCTCTGGCCACTGTGGATCTCCGTGGAGATGACCTTGAATTGCTGGCTGAAATGTGCTTTGTTTTTACATCAAGTTCCTTCGTTTTTACATCAAGTTCCTTGATGCAGCTGCGAGGCTTGATTCCCCATCCCCCAGCCTATGGCAACTCGAGAGCAGGCCAAGGATGCATTGCGAGTTGACATTCAACTTCCCTTATTTCCTGTAGGCAACCTGTGGAAAGCAAAATAAGTTTGAGTACAGATATAGATTTTAGGGGTGCGATCCCTCCCAGGCATTGTTGGGTTATGTTCATAGAATTTAGTTATGAGGCAGTCAGTTTGGATGTTTCTGCTCTTTACTCAAAACAACTCTAGTTCATAGAGAGGGGGGACCGCCTGCTTTGGGTGACTTGCCTGTTGCGCAGAAGAGTCAAGAGCAACTTTGGGCTCATTCTCCTTCTGGTGGGTGGAGAAAGGAGGCTTCGTTCCCATCTGCTTCTCCTCACTTCAAAGGGCTCAGTTGCAACTCCCTTCTCTTTTGGGCAGCAGAACAGCCCCTCATCATGAAGGGTGGCTCAATCAAATTTCTCCTTCAGCTGTTGTAAGGATCCCCCCAAGAGTTCCATCAGAGTTTTGGGGAATCTGGCTTGTTCCCAGTCCCTCATCCATTCCAGTCTTCCTAGCTTGCTCAGGGTTTTCCCCCAGCCCTGGGCACTAGAGTTGGGGAGCTCAACTAGATAGTCTGCCCTCTGCCATGGAGTGAATGGAGAGTCCGGGGCTCAGGAATCCCGGTTGTTTTTATTAGTTTTGAGAGAGTTGGCTTGCGGGTTCTGACTGATGCCCTAATTAAATCATGAGCCTCAGGCCAAGCTTCAAAGGAAATCCAGTTATTTATTACCACCAATTTTTCCATTGTGGGAATTAATATGTCTTTCTATCTTCGTGAAAGTAGTCACAAAGTTACATAATATAGTCACAATATGAATGAATATTTTTTGGGGGGGGCTCTAGATACTTAACTGCTATTCAGAAGCTAGCAAAGAAAGAAGACCAATGGAAATCAGCACTGAAGAAGACTGTATTATAATTGATGGGAAAGCTTTTGTGGCTGGAGAATGCATAGAGAGCATAACTGAACAGTTTAAAGAAATAGATTATTTAATGACTGACTTCCAAGGCAGCTTGTAGCAACAATAAGAGAGAATCTGTTATACTGTTTATAGCTTTAGAAAACATCCTTTTTCACATATAGTGGGAGAATCTTAAAAGCAGTTTAACAATATAGATTACATGGAGTTAGATTTACTTTAACAAGGGGACATATTTGTTGCTAAAACTGACATCCTATGTAGTCCATATTACTGTATAAATATATAAGTGAAAGTTAATTGCAATGTCATGTACTTTTCGATATTTTTTTCTGTAAAAATCAGATTAAAAATAAAGATTAGTCATACTTCAATCTCGAGAGTTTTTAAGATTACTTTGAATTTCTGAAGCATTCCAGCAAATCAGTTTATGTATAATTTTTCAGGAAGTCATTATGGAAATTCAATACCGTAAGAGTTGTAATTGGAAGCCTCAATTTTAAATAATTATATGAATTTCTTTGTTAAGATTCATTGAAGGATCACACCATAGATCCATAAATATACCTCTAACTGGGCTGTTTTCAACAGAGCTATCAATTTGCTGTAAACTCTGTTTATTCCTACCTAGAGCAGGAACTATTTTCTCATATAGCCATAGAGAATAGAAAATGGATACTCTGGTGTGCTTTCCTATTAGGCATGAAATTAGTCTCATATGTCTCTCATAAACTTCTGATTTGAAAAATGTGTACTTAGAAAGATCATTGAAAACCAGAAGACCTGTCTGTATATGATTTAGTTTTATCACAACCTTTTTGTTCTAATAATTAGGATTACAGTTTTGACATTTCATTTAAGCAATCTAGAAAAGTTGCCATTCTTGCTCATTCAATTTCATTTATAACAGGCATATAATAAGAAATACACTTTTGGACATTTATTTTAACTACACCAACTTTAGCACATGTACAAAATACACAGGTATTTCTTCCACAATCAGTTTTGATTTTTTAAATAAATAAAATAAGTATAATCTTGAGTTCAAACCATGTAACATTATATATTCCTCACTTGTGAGATATTTGTATACGGTTAAATAAGTAGATTATGCCATTTCATGAATCAGAAATACACTAAGAATTATAGTAAGCAACTGATCATATACAAGAATTTTCTTTAAGAAATATTAAGTACAAAATAAATTAGATAATAATATTTGCTGCATCAAAAGCAAACAAGAAAAGCACAACTTTTCCTTCATAGAAACACATCTATTCATATAGCTAGTTGTATTGATTTAGGTATTATATATCACATATGGTTAATTTGGATTGTTAAAAAATACCTTGAAAATCACTTCTACAAGAATGCAGTTGCTGGGAACTGAGTTCAATTTGAAGATATTTCTGTTCCTTTTTATGTCATATATAAGCACATTCAGTGTTCTGTAAAACTTACTTATTTATTTAAATAAAATCTCCATTGTGGTCAGCCTGGAAAAGTGAAGGAGTAGAATCACTGGTGTACCTCCATAGCAATCTGGCTAAAAATTCCAATATGATATAACTTTGGCCATTCACATGCTTAATAAAATATCTTACATAACAAAAATTGTGAATTAAGAAGGGAGATCAGCTTTCTATAATTTGTTGGCAGGGACTTTTGTATTCCTGATGCAATTGTAAAGCACATTTTATGCAAGTTGCACTAAATAAATATTTTTATCACTTCATCCACTCCTTTCTTATATAACTACAGAGGAGACTCTCTAGGAAAAGCAATGTACTAATATATTTGAACTATGAAAACTACTTCCACAATTTTTTACTACCTACTATTTTTCATTTTATTATTCATTCAAATATGTAAGACCATTCACAGTAATATACAATTCTACAATGGCAAAATATAAATAGTTTAAATGCATTTCTCTTATTTCAATCTATTCTAGTTTTCATTTTGAATGTTTGTTCCTGGAAATTTTTGATTTGCTCTCTTCAGAGTTTGTTTGAAAATAGAAACAGCTTAAATATTAATAAATCCATTTTAGACAAAATGTGAAGATAGCGAGCATACAAAACTAGATGTGTATTCATATTCCCAACCAATAAACTTTGATAAAAATTCTTTTGAAAGGTTTTTAGAAGAGCCCTCATACAGTAAAGTAAGTTTGAATCTCCTCATCTATTTTTGGTACATTTTGTCTGGCTTGCATAACATCCTGATGAAAATAAAGAAACTCCTCCATTCCAGAGGGAACCTAATTAGTTCAGGATTTCTTCCCATAGATACTAGATTGCATAGAAATCTTTATCATATTTGTGAAAATGTACAACACTATTGGAAGCATCAGTGGCAGGGTCAGGATGCATTTGTGTAGCCTTGTAATTTTTTCCTTTTAAGTTGACTATTTGAGAAGTGATAAGGCTTATAACTGATAAGTGATATATTTTGAATCCAGCACTGGAAGGAAGAGCTATTAGAAGAGAATCAGACATTAGAGAAAAGTGCTTGACTAACCCATTTTCTTCAGCTAATTTTTTATCACAGACATCATTTCTCAACATTATGTCACAATTTAAGGATGCATTGCTGCATATGCTTACCTACATGCAATATATATTACATGTACATTGATAACAACATACCCATAATAACAATATTCTTAACATTTACTTACTGCAACTGAGAATTTTCCCTGAGTTGCCTTTCCAAAATATTTTGACAGTGATGAAGGCGACAATAATCTCTTGAGATGAAGGTTCTGAAATCTACCTCAGGATCTTTCCTTTCCTAATAGGAATATTTTTTTCATGCACTATAAAGAAAATCTTCAAGAAATAAAGGATGCTGTATTCTCACTTGAGAAATTTTATGATATCCCTATGACACCACTACCCCGTACTCTAGAATGTGCCTTACCTAAACAATGAAAGGAGCTGCCAACTAAACAATGAAAGGAGCTGCCAACTTGATTTCATAAAAACTATAAACATTTTTTTTAATTTTAAGCACATATTGATCTAGTTATGTCAGAAATCAATAAAGTGCAGAACAGTGAGACACTATTAATCCCCAATACTTTAGTTTAAGAGCACAGCACTGTTCATTGTGTCAATATTCTAGCTAATGCTGGAGCCTGCAGTTAACTCTAAATGCCACTTCTTGTTTGTTTGTTTGTTTTCCTCTGTTTTAGGCATTTCTCTTATTTTAAGTGAAGTAATCAAGGCTCCAGAACTAGATATTGTACTATGTTTCAATTGTTTTATTAATTTTCATACTTTTTTCTATAACATAAGTATATTCCTAGTATGTGAGTGAATACTATTGCTATAATGTTTAGCTTCTAAGTCTGGGATGTACAATATTATAATGTATTTGTAAGAGTTATATCATTTGTTTGAGACAGATTTAAAAAGCATATATTTTATATATAAGATTTGGAAAGCTTAAAAGTTGTCTAGTCCAACAACCTATTCCACCGAGTACCTTTGCTAACTATCTAAGCTGCAATTAATATTTTCCATGAAGATGAGCTGACTGGCTATACTAAAATAGGAAGAATTAAACTCAAATTAATTACAAGAGCTGTTTTTGTCTTGGCATAAGAAGAAAAATAATAATAAAGCCTCTACTTCTCGAGCATATAAAGTTCTTTCTTTGGTTGTTTTTGCAAAGGACTCATATCGATCTGTTATCAGTAATGGATGCAGATGTAAATGAAAAATCTTTACAAAAGAAATGATTTATTTACACATGTGTATGCATTAAACTCAATACTGAGAAGTATTTCTATGAGTTTCAACTCTATGATATCTGCATTCACAAATGGCAATTAGTTCCTTTTAGAACTTCTGATTTCTTTGTCAGCAAGCTATATAGTCTCATGATGGCTTGGGACAGAAATTACTTTACATCCTTGTACCAAAGTTATGGTCTATATTAGGCAAGAAATTAGATTCCAGGACCATAGAACAATATTTTCAAAGTGCAAATGTTCTAATATTCTTAACTTCATTTAACAACAATAACAATAAATCGTATCTAGTTTTATTTTTATCTTTTACTGGGACAATAAAGAGGCCAACTTGACTTGACTGATTCAAATAGTCAGGAAGTGGCCTCTTTCAACTCTTTCCAATGTTGGAACATAAAATGGGAAAAATATGCTTTTCAATTACCTACCTTAGAAAAAACAAACTGCCTTTAGTCCCTATATCTGTTTTGTTTTCTATCAGAAGGGAACAACTTTTGTCGAATCATTGTTTTCTAGTTATTGTTTTTTAAAATGTAATTTATTAAAATGCTCGTTTTTGCTTTTTCTCAGAATAGGATGAAGCTTTAAAAAACTAGACCATTATAAAGAAATGAAATATCAAATGTCATAGAAATTATTGCTGAATTTCCACACACACTCTTTCAATTTAAACAACTTGACTAGAAACTTCTGTACTAGTCTAAAAACTACTGCAATTGACTAAAATATGTTTTTAACCTAATAAAAAAGTTAATTATCAATAACTTTTTCAGGATGATCATTTATTTAGAAAATATATGTTAAATAAAAAAAAGAATTAAATAAAGAGCAACACAACTGTAAATACGTTGCAAAAAAGGCAAGACAGAAAAGAACTGAAAAATGGATAAACAAACTTGTTTTAATAAAACCAACCAAATATAGGAATTAGGATAATGAAAAAAATCAGATATTATTATTCAGATAGAGTATAATGTTATTCAAGGCCAGAATCTGGGCAATTATGAAGTTTGATTCTAACCAAATTTGACTGAATGAGATTGCCATTTGTCTAGCAGTCTGAGATTGAGTTATAGTTGATAGATTAATTGCAAAGGTAACTGTGATTTGAGGCCAGACCTATCCACTAGTTATACAGTAGTACTGCCTTCTCTTCCTATCCCAGTTCATTTTATACAAGCAAACAAAACTAGGTGTTTTAGCATGATTGCAAGTCAAATATAGGCGTTTGTCTCTCAGGTTAAGTTCCTAAATGTAAGAAAGGTTTTTTAAAACCATCAGCATATTCACAATCATTTTATCAAAATTAGGGCACTTGGCAATTGGCAACTTTATGACTGCTGCAGTGACCCAAGGTCATGTGATTGCCTTTTGCAACCTTCCCAGATGCCTTTCAATAGGCAAAGTTGATAGAGGAAGTCAGAAGCATTTAATGACTGCATGATTCACTTAAGAACTGCAATTATTTGCTTAACTATGGTAAAACAAAATTGTAAAATCAGGTGTGACTTAGCAATCACCTTGTTTAGCAATGAAAATTCTAGTACTTATTGTGGTTGTAAGTCAAGGACTATCTATAATCTTGATTTTTATCACACAAACTCCATGATAGCAATTAGTAAACAAATATCACGTTAAGGAAGCCTCTGAGTTTTCTCATTTGTAACCAGAGTAGAAACAT